ATGTCTAAGCCTGTTGACCATATCAAGAGACCCATGAATGCCTTCATGGTGTGGTCCAGAGGGCAGAGGAGGAAGATGGCCCAGGACAATCCCAAGATGCATAACTCGGAGATCAGTAAAAGACTTGGGGCCGAGTGGAAACTTCTGTCTGAAGCCGAGAAAAGACCTTACATTGACGAAGCCAAAAGGTTGAGGGCTCAACACATGAAGGAACACCCCGACTATAAGTATAGACCAAGGCGCAAGCCCAAGAACCTTTTAAAGAAGGACAGGTACGTCTTTCCACTGCCCTACCTTGGAGACCATGACCCACTTAAAACAGGACTTCCCATGAGTGCCGCTGAGTCCCTTTTGGGGGCCTCAGAAAAGGCAAGGGCATTCTTGCCACCTACATCAGCACCTTACTCTTTTGCTAGACCCAAGCCAGTTTAGCTCCGCCACCATCCAGAAGATGACCGAGATGCCACATACCTTGACCACAAGTACCCTCCCTTACGCCTCCACCTTGGGATACCAAAATGGAGCCTTTGGGGGCTTAAGCTGTCCCAGCCACACACACACACACACCCCCCCTTCTCCCACCAACCCCGCTATGTGGTGCCCTGTAACTGTACAGCATGGTCTGCATCTAACTTGCAGCCTCCAGTTGCCTATATATTGTTCCCTGGCATGACTAAAGCTGGTATAGACCCTTATTCCTCTGCACACACCGCAGCCATGTAAAAAGGACTTCTAGAGGAATTGGGAACTGCAATGGTGCATGTAGAGGTGGACTGCCATGGGTAGGTCCTAGAACAGTGATGGGAGAGGGATGCTGGAGGCTTGGACCAACTCACCTGTAAGCTCCCGGCACAACGATGCACTTACTATTTATGAAAGGAACAGTCCTGTCCTTGTCACCCTCAAGCCATGCGGATAAGCTGGAAGTTTATTGTCAGGACAAATTGTAAGAATTGTACAAGTTCATCCTTTTTTTTTTTTTTAGCGATTACCCAGTTTGGACAGTAATTTATAATTTATTGAATTTTTATGTCTATTTGAGTTTGCCTTTTATTTCTCTATGTGATTCTGACCTCGAATTTTGAAGGAACTGATATTAAATTATTTCAGAAAATAAAAAATAATTATTAGTATTATTGCCATCCTGACCTGTTTTGCACACTTTCATTTGCTGTCGGCTGAGTGGGATCTGTGTTAGATATGTCGCCCCGAAATTTGCATTGTTTTCTTTCTGGAGAGTTTAGCGCTCAGCGCTCTATTGCTAAAGGAAGAATCTAAGAATCTGTCAATGTGTCCCTATATTTACCCCCCCCCCCAAACGAAAACTTCTTTTGTAAAGACAAATAATAATCATAAAATAATCCGATATTTCCTAGGGATTGTTTAGTGTAAGGAGTGTGATGGATTCACGGGAAATGTGACTGACAGGCTTCATGTACTAAAGGAATGATTGTACACACTTATCTCCCTTTATCTATCAAACCATGTTCTTTTTTGTCGGACAACAATCTTTTGAATAAAGACAATCTTGTCATTAAAAACGTTAAAGGTGTGCGATGTGCGTTACAGATGGGTGCAGATAAATGGTAAAGTCATGGGCTGCTTAAAAGGTGCCATGTCAATGCCCTAACCCTAACTATATATACATATATATATATATATATATATATATATATATATATATATATATATATACCCTGGAAATAAGTGATGTGCTTTATGAAAACTGCTTTCAGTGCAGATGCAAGTCCATTTGAAATGTATTAACTTTGACCTACTTGATAAATTAGAAATTTGTAGTTTTGTATAAAAAAAATGCCACATCTCAGCCATAACTCTTTCATTCTTTCTTATATTCCTCCCTTTTTTCCTTTTTCTTTCCTCTCTTTATTTTTATCCTTTCTTTCTTCTTCTTCCTGTTCTCCTTTTAGCTTTCTTTTTTTTTCTTTCTTTCTTTCTTTCTTTCTTTCTTTCTTTTTCCTATTCATCTTTCTTTCTTTTTTCCTTTCTTTCTTTACTTTCCTTTCTTTACTTTCTTTCTCTTTTCTCATGTTCATTTTAATTATCTTTTCTTTACTTTTCTTCCTTTTAATTCTTTTCTTTTTCTTTTGTCATTTCTTTTTCATTTAGTTCTAGAAGAAAGGAAATCCTGCATACATTAGCCAGTTGCTTTTCTTCTCTGACCTGTGAGCTGGTCTTTCCTTTCTTTCTTCTTTTATTTCTTCTGTCTATCCTTCCTTCTGTCCTTTCAGTCGATTCTTTTTTCCTTCCTTTCTTCCTTCCTGCCTATTTGTCCTCTCTCTGATCTATAATTACAAATCTCCCTTTTTATGGTCAGTGCCTTTCTTTTTCTTTCTTTCTTTCTTTCTTTCTTTCTTTCTTTTTCTTTCTTTCTTTTCTTCTTTTCTTCTTTTTATTTTTTGCTTTCTGCCTTCTTTTCTTTCTTTCTTTTTTCTTTCTTTTTTTTTCTTTCTTTCTTTCTTTCTTTCTTTCTTTTTTCTTTTTATTTTTGCTTTCTTTTCTTATCTTTCTTTTCTTTCTTTCTTTCTTTTTCTTTCTTTCTTTCTTTCTTTCTTTCTTTTCTTTCTTTCTTTCTTTCTTTCTTTCTTTCTTTCTTTCTTTCTTCTTTCTTTCTTTCTTTTCCTTCCAGAACTTTCTAATTGATGGCCCTGCTTCCATCTAATGCATATCACATCTAAATTGGTGGGATTTGATTGACTAATCCATGCTGGGCTGAGCCATACATCCCAGGTTAGTAGACAGCCGTGCATGGCTTATAGGATGTAAAGCTGACTTTCTCCCATAGCTGCTGCTCCGGGTCCAGAAGGGCCGCCGTGCTGAAATGACACAATGTTAGGTGCTCAGCTGATTTATCCTTCAATATGAGAAGAAGATTAGCATTTCGTGTCAAACAATTAGCATGAGGAGTCCTTGGAATAAATTCATTATGGGTCCTTTGTGAGGAGAGGATTTTCATTAGACTGTGGCTGTTCTCCATCTGCTGCCCCCGGAACGGGTAAATGATACATGATGCTGGGCACTTATGTTGGTGAGCGGAGATGGCAGGGCTACAATTAAGAGCCACACTCAGCTCTGGAGGGGTCTGGCCACTATAATAGCTATATTAATAAAATCAGGATGGAGGACGATAAAAAGCCAGAGGTGAGCCACGATGAATGAGGCTTCATTGGGGATCATACTGAATGGGAGACCCTTAACATCTCCAAACAAATCCAGAAGGGGGGCGAGGAGGGACTAAAGGCTTCTAGACACTAAGGGCAAGTGTCCAGCTTGACCCTATTGTGTCCCTATACATTTAACAGGCACGATGACAGCTTAGAAAAAGACAAGTGTTTGCTGACTTAACCCTAAGCGACAGCAGCTGTCAGCGACACTAGCAACAGGCGACCATCACTGACTGCCATTATCAGCCTAAATGGCAGTTAATGGATCACTGCCTTGTACTGGCTCTATCTGTACTTAGCGATTTGTACTGCTGGGCTGTGTTATCCTATAGGTGATTTATGGGGATAGGGCCTGTTTTCAAGATTGCTTTAACCATTATATAATTACTTTGTAAATAAATTGTAATCTTTGCAGGCGCTCCCAACTTCAGCACCAGCTCTGGTCCATGAAGGTCCATGATGAGAAGCCCCTTGTGTGTGTCAAGCAGGAGGCTCCGCACACTTCACATTGGCTTCAATTTCTGTCTGGTGTCTTCACTTTGTATATTTGTGTGTAAGTGTGTGTAAGATACATACACACTGACGCACAAAGACACCACCACACGCATACAATTTATATATATGTGTGTGTGTGTGTGTATATATATATATATATATATATATATATAAATGTGCTGGGGTTTTCTTGGTGTGTGTCTGTATGTGTCTGTATGTCTTTACATGTGTCTGTATGCAAACACACACACACACATATAAGAATACATGTCGTACACACAAATATATATATATATATATATATATGTGTGTGTGTGTGTGTGTGTGTGTGTGTACAGTAAACTTAGTTCAGACTGACTTCAAATTGAGTTCATACTGCAAGTTATGTATGTGTTTGAAATTTTCAATGGCATTATCAAATTTTAGAAATCACTTTATACAATTTACACAGTCACCATATATGAAATAGGAGATATGAGAGTTGGGGGACACATATCTGTACTTAAAATGCAGTTTTGGTTGTTGTGCCAATCCAATGAAATTGTAGTAAAAAAAAATAGTGTGTATTGTGGTAGACAATTAGATTGTACAATGGACAGGGATGAGGCATGCTGTGTGTGTGTGTGTGTATTATGTGCAACCTAAATTGTTATCATGGAGGAAATCCGTTTATTTGCATTTTTACAGTTTTGCATTTTATTATATGGATGAGGGAATAGTTAAAATCCTATTATTGTGTCTTGATATATAAACATATATATATATATATATATATATATATATATATATATATATATATTTGCACACAACACACATTATCACTATATATTATATTGTACACACACTTTTTTCACAAATTTTTTAAAACTTTTTTGCTAAGGCAGGAATTAAGAGAGTTACAGGACAAGTAAATGAAGTGAACATTATATGTTTGATGTGCTTGAGAAAATTCCCTAGAGGGAATAACTGAATCATGTCAAACCTGTTTATCTGCAACTGACTCTTTCTGGCAATAGAATCATTAAGCACATGAGCTGCCTGGACACTCCTTTCATTGCTATGACTTCCATTCATCACTTTGGTTTTGTCTTACTGGATCTTCTCTGGATAACCTCTAAAATTATCATTTATTTTATTTTAGTTTAGCTGTGTTATCCTTTCTTATGAATGAGTGAATGCATGTGTCTGTCTATCGCTCACCACCCTCTCTGCCTTTCCTGTACAATTCCTGATAAAAGAAAGTAACAACCAACATAATTTAAGAATACATGGGAGATGGATTGCAGGGTGATGCCCTTTAAATACCGTACAGTGTGTCTGTGTGTGTACCAAACTTAATTTATTTTATATATTTAAATATATATATGTGTGTGTGTGTACGTATTTATACCTTGGAGGGTGGATAGCACCATATACAGAATATATATAGATATATAAAATAGTTATCTATGCATTTTATATAGACATATAATTGAGTCCAACAATTGATTTACTAAAGGATTTAAGAATCTTAAGTCAAAAACTGTAAATATTCATTTTTTTATCCAATCATATCAGTAAAAAGGAATTTTCTGTTGACCGGATTGGATAATTGTAGTGAATATTTGACACAAAGGGTGTTGTGAAAATTGTGGACTCCTTTAGTAAATCCCCTGTATATCTCTCCAGCTCCTGGGTGTGTATGTAGCTCTCTATTCAGGTGTCAGGGAAAAGGAAGAGATCGTGAACAGATGTCAGAGTACAATGCGATACAAGTCGGGTTGGAGATGATTGCGGATTTTTGATCTGTGTAACTTTCTCCGCAAATGTAAGCGTGGAACTAGACATCTGGGTGCATATCTAGAAGTAATATTGCCAATATTGTCTGTATTCGTTTTATTCTAGAATAATGACATGATTGTACTTGTGTTCTCACTTTCTTTGTAGAAAGTCCCAGTGTAGGGATCTCGGGCAGGAGACTGGAGATCTTTCAGAGAAGCTGATATTAGCACAACAAGTTGAGATCAGTAATTCATACGATGGTGGAGTAGAATGAGAATGAGA